TCTTTGGAATTAGAACAATAAAAGATGCATTTGATCCTCTTGCAAGTCTGCCTTGTTCCCAAAATTCCTGTACAAAGCCAATCACATCAGCCTTAATATCTTCCCACATCGTCTTCACAAATCCAAAATTGAATCCATCTGGACCCGGTGATTTGGAGGAGCAACAGTCCCAAATTGCTTCCTTGATTTCCTTTTCAGAAAAGCCAGCCACCATAAACTCATTATCTGCTTGTGTTATTTGTTTGAAATTGATCCCATCAAGCGTTGGTCTCTGCCATACCTCTTCTGAAAATAAGTCTTTGAAATACTTGGCCACTTCTTCCTTTATTTCCTTCACACCCATGTATTGTTCCCCATTGATCCGAATACAATTAATTTCATTTCTTCTCCATCTTCCTTTGACACATCTATGAAAGAATTTTGTATTAGCATCACCTTCATTGAACCACATCTTTCTTGACTTCTGTTGCCACATCCTCTCTTTAATTCTTAAATTATTCCATAGGTCCAGGAAACTGTTCCTTCTATTTTCAATGTCTTCTGCAGTCAATTGATCATTCTCTCCCTTTTCATCTATTTCAGCTATCACTGATTCAGCTTCTTTTAATTTAACATCCACCTGTTCAGTTAAATTTTTGCTCCACTCTTTTAATGCTTTCTTTGTTCTTTTCAATTTCTCTTTGAGAATGAAGCCACTCCGCCCCTCAACCTCATTGAATTTCCACACATTTTTGATTAATTCCTTGCATCCTGGTCTCTCAAACCATGCATCAAAAAATTTGAAAGGTGTTGGGCCCCAATCAATCTGCTCATTCTTGAGTAAAATGGGGCAATGATTTGACACTGATCTTCTCAAACCCCATTGTTTTACGTCACTCCATTTGGAAACCCAATCTTCCGATAACAAGAATCTATCAATTCTACTCATACTCTGGCCATTAGCATTATACCAAGTATATCTCCTACCCAGCAAAGGCAAATCAACCAAAGCATTGTTCTTAATAAAATTATCAAACTCCTGCATTTCTCTGTTTATCCCACTTGCTCCTGCTCGTTCCTCTATTCCCCTCACAGCATTGAAATCTCCCATTAGGCACCAATTCCCTTTTTTCTTACTAATCAAGCTCTGCAATTCCTCCCATAAAGCTCTCTTGCCCAACAAATGACACGGAGAGTAAATGTTTAAAATGTTCACAGGTATCTCCTCATCACCCCATAGTCCAGCCACCCCAATAAAATTATTCCCCTCGATTACCTCTTTTTTCTTAAACACCTTATAGTCCCACATACATAACAAACCTCCCGACCTGCCTATAGATGATTTTGCTACCCAATCTACATCATCAGTACCCCACAATATTCTACAAACATTCCTGGTAATTGTCTCTAATTTGGTCTCCTGTATTGCCATGAATTCTACTTTCTCCTTCAATACCACTTCTCTAATCTGTCTTTTCTTTCCAACCCCTCCAAGCCCCCTTATATTAAATGACAATAGTATCATAGGGGATTTATGCATACCTTCTTATTCTCCCGAATACTCTGGTTAGCCATGTCCTCCTTTGTACGATCGTCTCTCTTCTCCATTTCCTCTATTTTTTGGATAACTTCAACATCATTTTCTGCAGTTGCTCCGAGTTGTTTTGCGAGATCCCATATCTCCTTTGCAAGCTGACTCTGCATCTGTTTCTTAATGGATCTGTTGCGATTCATTATTCCGCTGTCATTCACTGAGCCACCAGTTACTTTCCCATTCGGATTCTGCAAAAATTTCAGAGCTTGTTTGTCCGTTGTCCCCTGCTGATTCTGTTTTCTTTTATCTTTCTTTCTTTGTGTTCCCGTACCATCCTCCTCTGTACATCGATAGACTGAGCTGCAGGATCTTGCCCTCCTTCTCTTATTCTTCACTGTATCCCCGATCTGCTTGCTAATCCACTCTTCCAGCCGGCCCTTGTCTTTTTCATACCCTCTCCAGAACACATCTTCCCCCTCTACTCCATCTTCCTCGTTATTATCCTCTGATGTCTCCACATTTTCAGCACATTGTAATTTGATTGTTGGTCCAGCTCTTTTTTCTTTTCTTCTGTTTTGGGCCAAGCCCACATTTGTGGATTCTTGTACATCTAGACTTACTTGTGTGTTGGGCTTTAATGACTTCTCAATGAAACTATTTTCAAAGCCCAGCTGATTCCCATCTACTTCACCGGCTTTCATTACCGGTTCGGATTCACCCTCCAATTGCTCAAGCCATTTTTCCGTTGCTCTGCTTTTGCACTTATTTGAATTTTGAATTTGAAATTGGAGTGATCTGCCAGCTGTAGATTTCGTACTCTTCTCCCCCTCTACTGCAGGTTGCTTCTGGGTTTTTTCTCCCTTCGACACGTCATCATCTTCATCGTGGATCCTTCTGTCATCATCCTGAGCTTCATCCCCTGCATTATCACATTCATGCTCCTCCATTTCACTGTCAGCTGACCATGATTCATATTCCTCCTCATCACTTTGGAAGGAAGGTAAGAAATCTTGTTTTAAGGAGAAAAAGCAATTAGTGAATTCCTCTTCTGAAAATCTGAGATTGTAGAGGCTCCCATCAATTTTAACTTGCCGCGAGACTTTAATTGTATCCATAATCTGGGTGGATATCAAGAATCTTGCAACATCAAACCTCCTTCTTTTGCTAGTACTGTCATCCAAACAGATGAACTTTCCCCATGATCTTCCCATTTTTTCAAAGAAATCTGTACCCCAAGCATTCAAAGGTACTCCTTGACACCTGATCCATACGAATCTTTCGTTAGCAACCAGTTCGGATGTCCATGGCCGTACTTCTTCAAACCACTGCCCAAGCCACTCTGAAGCCAATTCCACCAAGTCCTTCAACTCCTCCTTATCCTCACAATCTAACAACACCAATTTGCCCCCCATGGCTCGAATGTGGCATGAAAAATAACCTTCCATATAGAATTTCTCTTGCAAGTTACGAACCATCTCCACGGAGTGTACCAAACCAACGAAGCATCCCTCAAGCCATGCCTTATCTTCCGGTTTGGTGTTGTATTCAATGCCCACCCAATTCTCTCCCCTACCTTTTTCTTGCCAAACTCTTCTGTATTCCGTATTCCGACGGCTAACTCTGTTTCTGGTTGTGCTCCTCTCCTGTCTCTTTTCCTCATGGTCTCTAGGCTGTATTCTCTTTTGATCTATCAAATTCTTCTCTGTTTGACCCTTCAGTACCTCAGCATAGCTTCTGTTTTGGCTTATTGGTTCTGCAATTTGATGAATCCTACTCTCTGTGACTTCAATCTTCCCTTCTTCATATCTTGGGGAATTGACCCATAATTTTCGACCCCCTATCCATATCTGATCCAACTGTTTTTCCAGCTCTTTTTTGTCTTTGACATCTAAGAATCTCACAAAACCAAATCTGCTTCCATTTTTGCTTTTCTTGTTTGGACTATAGATGGCATACACCCGGCCAAATTTCTTGAAGGTTCGCCACATCTCCGAGTAGCTCCAGTCCTCTGGGAAATTGGTAAAGAAAAAAGGAATGGCTTGTTTATACAACCCCCAATCGTAAGGCCCACCTTCTTTCCTCTTCCAAGTCTGAAACTGATCATCCATCATCTGTCTCTAACCCATATGCCTCTGTCCCATCTGCTGAAACCTTCCCTGCTTGCTTCTTCCGCGAGATCCAGCATGCTCTCGAACCAGTGTTGTCTGTCTTGAACGTGTCCTGTTTCCATCTCTTTCCCCTCTCACTCTCTCTCTACCTCTCTCTCTCATGTT